TCTGGGGCAGCTGGAAGTCACGCCCTTTAGACCCTTTGCATCTGCCATAGGGCAGCATCTCTGTGAAGACAGCAGCAGAGATTTGCATAGGGTGTATTTGCTGTGCCTCAAAGCTGGTGTGAAGGTAGGGGAGCAGAGACCTCTGGACCCGTAAAGGATGCTTGCTGTAGAATAGTAATGTAGCTGCCCGTGTGTGCATTGACACACAACCACTAAAGCTGGGGGAGGTGGACCTACTCCACCAAAAGCTGCCTGTACCATTATTTTTTATGTGTTCTTTTTATGTAATTTGATGTCTGCAAGGAACCTGCTCAAGCAAAAGGTGCCCCAGGTGCGGATAGATGAAAAACTTCAAAACCTGGGATGAGAGGGGATGAGAGTGTCATGCTTCCAGGGCAGCACCATGGTGTCAGAGATGTTAGTGGAAACCTGGAGAAGCAGTGCATTATGGAGGCATTTACTGCGGAGCTGCAAACGCTTTTTATTAATTCATCCAGTTGATTTTGTCATGTCTCATGTGTGTGTGCGTGGAGACCTTCCTTCTTGGGCAGTGCTGGGAGGAGGGAGCTCACCCTGCATTCCCAAGGATCCTGGAGGAAGCTGGGACATTCAGTGTGGCCTTACAGTGCCCTGCATTTTGCTGGAGGTAGGCAACTTGTTCAGTTGTGAATTGCATCAGTCTCAGCCGCCATGGCCCGACTGCCCCTGGCTGCAGGGTTAGTGCTGGAGCTCAGCCTGGTGCTGCAGGTGTCCTGCTGTGGTGTCCTGCTGTGGTGTCCTGCTGTGGTGTCCTGCTGTGGTGTCCTGCTGTGGTGTCCTGCTGTGGTGTCCTGCTGTGGTGTCCTGCTGTGGTGTCCTGCTGTGGTGTCCTGCTGTGGTGCCCTGCTTTGTCTTCACGGGTGCTGAATGGGGATCTGTTGAATTATGGTGCTGAGTCACTGCACAGCCAGGCTCCATAAATAACTGCGGGTGCTCTGCCCCGCACCGAGCACAGTGAGGAGTGGGGAAGTGCTGCTGAGTGCTTGGAGCAAGGGCTGTGGTGGCAGAAAGTGTCTCCTCGGCTCCACACTGCCTTGGGGAGCAGCATAGGGTGAGTCCCATGGCAGTCCAAGCTCTGTCAGGCTCAGTGCCCCAGGCAGCCCTGTGCTGCTCCCCACTCGTGCCCCAGGACTGGCATCCTGCCCACAGTGTTCTGTGCTCCATGCTGGGTTCAGGCTCCTCCCGCAGAACCTTAATTTCATCATTTTCCCCTAATGTGAATGCACATAATCCTTTGCATACAGCCTTGCCACTAGAGCAGGGAGAGAGCAGGGAGGCTGTGCTGTGCACACCATGCTACACCTGCCCACGTTTCAGCAGGCGAAATGAGAAAGCCTTACTCTTTGTGCCCTGTTTGGGCAGAGCATCCAGAAGCACAGGTGCATGTGCCATCCTTCCCAGGCAACAAGAAGGTTGCTGCCTTGCAGCAGCAAGGTTTGCCAACCCTCCTCCTGCCCCACCTGTGGCCTTGCTGGGCTGCCCACTGGCGGCGGCGGCAGCAGCAGTTCTTCCTCTACACCCGTGTGAGGATGTTTCTGATGGTCTTTTGCAGCCCTTGAGCTGACCTATCATGCTGCACTGCCCAACAATCTGCTTTGTGTCAGAGTGAGGGATTTTGAAAGATAAAAACACCCAGAGGAAGTGAAAGTGAGCAAAGGAGAAGCAAAGTGTCCTGCCGGGGATTCTCGGGTTTGTTCTATTTTGTGTCAGCAAAACTGCACTTTTAGCACAGTTTGCTGCAGCGTTGCTGTGTTTCACTTAGGAACTGCTGCTAATATAGGTCCATTTGTTCAGCTTAGCCATTATTTCCTCAGCAGTTTTGCTTCTCACATGAAATGCAACTCCAGTATATGGGAGCCATCACTGAGGCATACAGGTAACAGATTTGACCCCCAGATGTGTTACACCTGTCCAAAAGCAAAAAGTAGGTGGGTATGTTTTTCTCTTCTCTCTACCTGCCATCCTTGGAGCGTTTGTGTTCAGCAGTGATGCTCTGCATGAGGGGAGAGCATTTCTCACGTTGCAGAGCAGTTGTGTGCGTGCTCAGTGTCTGCAAAGTTGCAGCGTCTGGATGGAGAGCACAGAAAGGCAGGTTGTGTCACTTCAACGCGATGTCTGAACCTGCGAGTGTGAAATGGATTCTGGAGTGAAAATTATGCAGAATTAAATTAGTGTGACCTTACTTTGCATTGGGAGGCTGCATTTGCCCATCTTGCAAAGCCTCGTGCATTTATAACACTTCCCTTGGGGAAAATTACTGAGAGAAATGGAATGAGGTCTCTTCTAATTGAAAAGTGACGATGATTAGGAAGCCAAACACAAAATGTGTTGAGTATTTTTTTTCTCGTTTTGTTGTGTGTGTGTTTTAAGAATACCAGCAGAATTATAAATGACATGCTCTGCAGTTTGGCTTGTTTTTCATTCCCCAAAGGTTTGTTATTAGCATAGCAGCTGAATTGCACTTGTATAATAACATATTAACTCAAAGTTTGGTGGCTTTTCTTTGACTTCATTAGTTTGACTGAGCTGCTTGGATATAATCTGTCCAGGTGTATCCAGCTTTCAGTGTGCTGTTCATTGTTCATTTTTTGCCCCTCTGAATATGGAGCCCATGAAGACAAGTTAAAACAGGGGGAGAGCTGGCAGCAGCTTCCACGCCTCGAGTGGGTACGAATCTCTTGCAACTTGAAAAGCACCAGCTGTGTGCGGGGCACTTTAGGATTGCATGTCATTGCCACACTGGGCTGCAGAAGGGTTGCTGCTGGGTGGATCAGAGCTCCCCTGGTGCACCCACTGTTTGTGTGTAGGCTCCGGTTGGGCTGGGGGCAAAGGGAGCCCCGTGCATGTCCTGGTGCAGGGGTTGGGGGTTCCTGCTGGGTTTTGCCAGCATGTGAGCAACTGTTCATTTCAGCAACAAGAGAGGCAGCAGGGCAGGTGCGTTACTCGTGGTGCTCATGTGGGTACGTTCAGCTCCTGCTCTGTGCTAAGGAAAATGGAGAAGAGTACGGCTGCTGATGTGGCAGTTTACAGAATGTTAAGTTGCAGCTTAATTGTCATCCCCCTCCCACAAAGCAAGATATTAAAATCCCTCTGCTATTTATACAGTCAGTGTGATTGCCGTAAGGTTGGACTCGCTTCCACATCACAACCCCCCAGTTTGGGGTCTGACAAGCAAACAGCACACGGTGCATCGCCCATCACAGCTCCTCCTCCTCCATGGGAGCCCCTTCCTCCCCAGCTGCTCCTGACTGCAACCTCCCAGCTCGGCAGTGCAGGTGGGGCAGCTCTTCCTGATGGCCGAAGTGCTACGAGCATCACCACACTGCTGTGAGCAGTGGAGCTGGATTTGGTTTGCTTAGTGTGCCTTTCATTTTAGGAAGGGAACTTTCGTTTATAACTGCCTTCCTCTCCCTTTTCTTCAGAAGTGCTACTTTTTCTTTCTTTCTTTCTTTCTTTTTCTTTTTAAGCTAAAAAGGTGGCTTTCCATTGCTGGCCTCATTTAGTTTTTCTTGTATCTTCTTGCTGTGGCCAAAGCACATGTTTCATTCTGAGGCTGAATTGACTCATCTTCCTAAACCTTGGGTTGTGGCTTTTTGTCTTTGCTTTTCTGCAGTGCTCTCTGCATGAAGGCTTTTCCACTGCCCATGGGCTCCTTCTGCCCTGGGGTTCTGTGTGCACAAATCCATGAGCTGTGCCCTTGTTGGCTGATGGGAAGCAGGCAGATTGCAGTCAGCCTGTAGAGCTGCTCCCCAGTTGCTCCCAGAGCTGCTTCTCCTGCTGATGGATGGCCATAAGTGTGGCTATAAAGTGGGAGCCCCTTCCTCCATCCCCCCATATCAGCCTTGCCACCGGCCCCTTCCTGCCTCGGAACCCGTGCTGGCACAGCTGGTAGCAGCTCCACCAGTGTCAGAGCCACGTCCTGTGCTCCCAGGGCTGCTTACCACCACGTGTCAGGACAAACTCCTGCTTTCAGGGCGTAACTGTGCTGTGCAGGTGGTGGATGGAGCAGTTAAACATTCTGGGATCTGGGGGTGATGGGCAGTGCGCCTGTCTGGCAGCAGAAATAGCTGCTGCTAGCAGAATGAACTCCAAAGGAACCGGTGGCACTTACCACCTGGACTGTTTTCTTGACATTTATTTGCTTTTACTGGCACTTAAATGCCACCTGCCAGGAGAAAACTTTCCATTAAAAAAAAAACAACTGCCTGACTCAGCAGATGGCATCGCAGGCACTGCGAGCAATGTGATGCTGCCCTTGGGCACCTTGAGTCTGCGTGTGGGCACGTGTGCTGTGTATGTCTGCATAAAGTGCAGGTGGCTGCATCCACAGTAGTGTGAGGCAGAGCCTTCCGAAAGTGCGTTTTGTAGCCATCCCTACTGAGATGCAAAGTGAAAATGCCCAGAACTGTTTTTTATTTCGGATGCCAAGTGTCTCTGGAGTTAAGCAGGTCGTCTATTTGCTTGTTCCTTTTTGTTTGGAGGGGTTTTGGCAGCTCTCCTGTGTGTCAGTTCAGGCTGCTCAAGCTCCCGCTGTCAGCTGGGCGAGCAGTGTGGTGCTGCAGCCCTGCTCTGCCTGGCCATGCGAGGAGGGGAAGGCTCCATCAGCAACCATGGGCACGGGGGCTGTGCAGCCTGCAGGCAGCAGAGCACCAGGGAGTGGTAGGGAAGTTTTATCAAGTTTTATCCGGGTTGTGGTTTGGAAATCTGTGCTCTGTGGGTCGTGTCTAAAGGTCCCTCCTAGAGACTGCTCTGGGGCACCGAAGATGTGAATTAATGTGGGTTTTTTTTATGAAGTATCTGGGCTGAAAGCACACGGAGCCCACATGTGTGCGTCTGCGAGTGTTGTGGGGGAAGGATGCAGCTGTGCTGTGTCACCGCCTGCTTGGCCAAATTCCTCCTCCTCACACTCCATTAAGTGCTGCTTTTTCAGGTGGCTCACAATATGTCTCTCTCTCTTGCAGCGGAGTTGGAGTTTGTACAGATAATCATCATCGTGGTGGTGATGATGGTGATGGTGGTGGTGATCACCTGCCTGCTGAACCACTACAAACTCTCTGCGCGATCCTTCATCAGCCGGCACAGCCAAGGGAGGCGGAGAGATGAGAATCTGTCATCAGTAAGTCACACGCTGCTCTTCCCATCTGTGCCGTACGGCGCTGTTTGCCAAGTGATGTGAAATTTGGGAAATGTGAGAGCCAAAGGCGTTCATCTCACTTGGGTTTGCGTGTTTGAGGCTCAGTGCTGCCTGGAGAGATGACCAGGCTGGGTCTTGGCTTCATCTGCCCAGGGACGTGGGAGCCTTGTAAGGATGCCTCTGGCTTTTCAGGGTGTTGTATGATGTAGCATACAGGCAGCTCTACACTTTGCAGCTTGGACTTTCCATTAACAAAGCAACCACACCAGGCTGCTCCTGGTGTGCCCTGTTCCTGAAACCACCTTGCACTGCCGGATGTTGGGGATGCACACACCTTGACATTTACAGCACCAAGCTATTGACTCTGGCAGCAGCTCCAGTTAGAGAGTCCCAGACGAGTGTGTTAATCTGCTCCTTGCCTTCGAGAGGATGGGAAATCCTCAAGGATTTCCAGAGTTTGCCAGGGGTGAAGCAGCACTGCTGTCATTGCTGTGGTGGAGGTGCCAGGAAGTGCCCATCAGACACGTGAGCAGAAACCTCACCAAGGGGATGCTCGGGAGATTCCCAGCACAGCCTGGGCTCTGTGGTTCATAGAAGCCCAAGGAGAAATGTGTTAATTGCCTCTGCAGCTCAAGGAGAGCCTCTCCAGCCTGTGGCAGATGCTGGTCTATGCAGAGCTGAAGGTTTCATCAGATACAGCAGCTCAGTTACAGGAACCTACAGAGAAAAGACACAAGTTTAGTGGAGGGTGAGCACGCTCACTGCTGCCTACATAACCCTGTGCAGGGATACGTTGTGCTGATGGATTTTTGCTTCGTTCACTCTGAAAGATCTTAAAGCTCTTTAAACAGTATGGCTTTCTTGAGGTCACTGCTTCAAGCTCCTGTCTCCAATGTGCAGGGCAGGCTGAGCAGGCACTGCTGCCTTGTCCTGGTCTCTGCAGGGCTGCATTCCTTTCTAGCAAAACCAGGAAAATGATCAAGTACTGTGGCTGTTTTTTGGGTTTTTTTTTCATTGTAAGAGAGCAGAGCTCTGCCATCAGGTTTAATAAGCATGGCACTGCTGAAGGCTGCTCAGCCTGTGGTACCCATCACACCGCTGTCCCTGCGCCGTGCTGCTCTCTTGCTGGAGGAAGCTGCCTGTTGGGAAGGAGTGCTGGGAAAGCCCCAAGCTCAACCAAACCACTCTGCATCACGTCAGCACACTGTATGTCAGGACAAGCCTTTTTCAGGTTGGCTATTTTTATTTTCTTTAAGAAGAAGAAAGAAGGCTAACCTGGAAAGAGATGGCTGCCAGACTTGCATGAGGGCACAGAGCCTTCTGAGCATTTCTGCATCCCCCACTTGGGGCATTTATTGTTCTCCCTCTTCTCATGCTCCTTCCCTGCCCTGACACAGCGAGGTGAGGGGCCAAGCTCCTGCATGTCCCCAGAGCCCTCCTGGAGACACGAGAAGCCCTTGAGATCTCACAGTGGCATCAGCCATGAGAACGACCTTCAAGGCGGCTCATTTGGGATTCAGCACAGCACACCTTCCTGGGGAGAGCTGCTGCAGTCTGACTGTGTGCAGCGGCTGTGCTCAGCTCAGAACCAGCTTGTGCGAGCCATTAAACTTGCACTGAACTGGTGTTGGGCTTTTTACATCTCAAACTTCATTTTGCTGTCATGACCAGACAGGCACTGGAGCTACAAACATGTTTTTCATCTTTTAAAATATTAAAGTAGTTCATCCCATGGTCAGAGTACTGCAAGATGTGCAGCAGTTGTCTTTTTTAGTTCTTGTAGCTCAAAAATTACAACTGAAGGAGAAATTCATTTCCCCGAAGGTGGGGTTTTTTAATGTGGTTCGTGCTAGCAAGGAATTCCTGCTCTGCTGCACCTGTTTGTGCATCACAGTCCTATCTGTTCTACTTCTTAAATTGTCTCCTTGTAACAGGTACCTTTATTTTTCTTTAAGAAATGTGGCTGAAAATATATGTATGTTTTTTTTCAATAAGAATGGCACTGTCCCTGCACCTCTGGAGCATAGAGACCTTCCTAAGACAAAATTGAAAAGACAGCTCAGAAATTTAATCTGTGTCACTCTGCTCTGCAGTGGGAATGCTCTGCCATAACTAAAGCAAGAGGTTCCATGAAGTCAAAGATGGAGCTGTAAAATGAAATCAGAAAGAAGTCTGAGGTTCCAAAGTGAGTCCTGGAATACTTACAGGATTTCACAGCCACATTGCTCAGCAGACCCAACTTCCATTCTGAGAAAACAAAGCTTTGGGGCTGCAGCCATTGCTGAGATGAATTCAGGTCCCAGATGGGGTGCAGCGCTGTGCAGGGGCAGCCTGGCCTGGTGGTGGCCATCCCACGGCACCAGGGTTGAGAACAGACACGCTCTGTGTCTGTGGGTTTGCCCACCTCTGGCTGTTGGTTTCTGGCAGTTTTCATCCTGCTGTTGACTCAGGAAGGTGAGATAGGAGCTCTCTGGGAGCACAGGAGGCAGGCACGGTGCTGAGCACCCTGCTTGGCCAGGCTTTGCCCTGCAGCCTGCAGCTCCTTCAGCTGCTGAGGGAATTTGAATGCAGACGGTGCCTGCAGGCAAGGAGTGCACTTAGAGCAGCCCAGACTAAACAGCCGGTGCCTGTGTAAACAGCTGTGTGCATCCTGGGGCTGTGCAGTGTGGTGCTGCTGCCTTGCCCAGCACAGGGGTGGCAGTGTGGTGCTGCAGCCAGAGTGGGGCTCCGAGCAGGGGAGGTACTGGGGCATCTCCTTTTGGTGTACGTCACCATTTTCTTTGCACTGGCAGCAGGACCACTGTGAGATGGATGTGCAGGTATTTCAGTAACAGTTTGGGGGCTGCATTCCCGGTGAGAAGTGTATCCCAAACTGGGGAAAATGGAGAAAAGGGAAAAACTAGGGTTTATTATTCGGTTCTGTGGAAATGTTAACACGGGGCTTACAATGTGTTTGGAGCAGCAGGTGAGCCCTGCAAGGTGCTCTGGGCTGTGCTCTGCAGGGCTGGCATGGCTCCGAAGGGCTGGGCGAGGGGCAGGCTGCTGCCAGTCAGCTGAAATCCCTGGGCATCCCTGGGAAGAGGTGGAGAGTGACCTTTGGATGGGACTCTTAATCCTAAAAGGGAAATACAAAGGGGACTTGGCAGGTTTTTTTCCACTGGGGTAAAGGTGTCTGACTGTGCCAGCCCTGGAGGTTCACCTGCACACAGCTGGGAAGTGCCAGCCAGTAGAGGTGGATTTATGAGCCCTTCAAGGCTTGTTTTCCTCCCGCTCTCTCTCCTGGAGCAATGTTGCAATATATATGAATTTTAGCAATATTTAAATACTTCAGGTCCCGGGGCAGAAATGTAGAAGTGAACTGTGTGTGCTCGCAGTATCTGCAACCAACGGAAGGAGGCCACATTTGTTTGTTTGTTGTGATGGTGGGCTGTAAGGCCATGTGGGGAGGCTGTGGGTGTTCCTTGCAGGGGCTGTGGGTCCCAGGTACAGATTGCAGCACTGGGGTTGGTGCCAGGATGAACAGAGCCTCAGCTCCTCAGTCTTTGTAACCATGGGCCATTGATCCCTTGGGGGAGGAACCATCCTGTCGCTAGAGATGTATTTTTTATAGCACGTCAAGATTAAGCTTAAGTATTTGCTTAACTGTCTTTATTTTCCCATGGTTTTCTTGATTGCTTGCATCAGAATGTGGGTGTGAAGTTTTCTGTTTTTCTCAATCTTGCCATTATTTCATGGAGCATTTGCTGATATCTCGTGAATCACTCATGGCTCATGAATCACATATTGAGAAACACGGCCGGGGTCGGGAGAGGAACCCACGGAGCAGGCATGGCTGGGAGGGGGAGGCCTGCAGTCTGGATAAAACGGTTTGCTGCTGGCACTCATCATTCATTCTGATTTGTCAGATCTCAACGGGATGGGAAGGGAGGGAAGCCCTGCTAGGAGCGGCGTTCCAAGGGCAGCCCATCCCATCCCATCCCAGGATGGGGGGAAGCGGGGCCGGGGGGCGCAGCTCAGCCATGCTGACACCAACCTCTCTTCTTCCCGATGCAGGAGGGCAGCCTGTGGCCGTCGGAAAGCACCGTGTCGGGGAGCGGGATGGCTGAGGTGAGGACAGCCTGGGCTCCGCGTGCCGCCGGTCCCCGCGCCCCAGGGCCGCACCTCACATCCCGCCGCCCCTTCTCGTTTCTTTCTCTCCCCTCCAGCAGCAGATCTACACCCCGCGGCCCAGCGAGCGCCTGGCGGTGCCGTCCTTCCTGCAGCGGGACCGTTTCAACAGGTTCCAGCCCACCTACCCCTACCTGCAGCACGAGATCGACCTGCCCCCCACCATCTCGCTGTCGGACGGCGAGGAGCCCCCCCCGTACCAGGGACCCTGCACTCTGCAGCTGCGCGACCCCGAGCAGCAAATGGAGCTCAACAGGGAGTCGGTGCGCGCACCCCCCAACAGAACCATCTTCGACAGTGACTTGATAGATAACTCGGTGTACGGGGGGCCGTGCCCCCCCAGCAGTAACTCTGGCATCAGCGCGACCTGCTATGGGAGCAACGGCAGGATGGAGGGCCCGCCGCCCACCTACAGCGAGGTGATCGGGCATTACCCCGGAGCCACCTTCTACCAGCACCAGCAGAACAACAGCGGGGTGCCCTCGCTGCTGGAGGGCAGCAGACTCCATCCCTCACAGATCAATGGCCTTGAGAGCACAACGGCGTGGAACAAAGAGAAAGAGAAACAGAAAGGGCACCCCTTTTAAAAAAGGAGAAAAAGGAGAGAAAGGCAAAGTCGGCGAAACGCTCTGCACTTCTGGTGGGAAGGAAGAAGGGGAGGGATTGGGAGCTGAGGAAGATGAGCGAAGGAAAAAAAAAAGAAAAAAAAAAAGCCCTTCCCCATCTCTCCATGTATAAATATTTACTTGTTATGTCTGGTCTGAATGCACAAGCCCACAAAGCTTGCAGAAACATTTCTTTCTTGAGCTGTGTCTAGACGTTGAAAAAGGAAAAAGAAAACAACTGTAGTCTTTTTTTTTTTTTTTGGTTTTGTTTCTAGTTGAGCTGTGTGTGAATGCTTTTTTGTTTTCGTTTGATTCTTTCACTTAACTTTAAAGACAAAATATTTGCACAAAAAAACGTTTTGTTTAAAGATCTGCAATATAAATATATAAATATATATTAAGAATAAGAGAAAAGTGTATGTGTAAGGAGCAGGAGTATTTTTGTATTAGAAGAGGCCTATTAAAAAAAAAAAAAAAAAAAAAAGTTGTTTTCTGAACTAGAAGAAAAATGGCAATTTTTTGAGTGCCAACTCAAAAAGTGTGTATGACGTTGTAAAAAACAAACACAAAAAAAAAAACCACAAAAAAAAGAACAAAACAAAAAAAAAAAATCAAAAGCAGGGGTTTAGAGTTATTTATATAAATGTTGAAATTTTGCACTATTTTTTAATATAAATATGTCAGTGCTTGTGTTGGTCAAAGCCTCTATCGTGTCTACCATGCAACTGTTAAGGGATGTTTGTCCACAGGAGCAGCAGTGAGTGGGGCTGTGGGCGCTGCGGCGCCGTGCAGCCGAGCTGTGGGGCTGTGGGGGGCCTGGCTGCTGCCGGGGGGGCAGAAGCAGAAGCAGAAGCAGGCAGAAATTACTTGATTTTTTTTTTTTTTTTTTTTTTTTTTTTTGGACAACCTCTAACTTTTTGGAGGGGGGTGGCGGCGGGGATGAGAATAAACTTCTGTGTCTGAAGGAACAAAGTGGTTTTTGGTTTGTTTCTTTCAATGTCAGCCTGGAGGGCGCTGCGTGCAGGTGTGGAAGCAGCAGAGCTGTACCCCCCCCCCACCTCCCCCCCAAAGCCAGACCTGGACTGCAGCATGCTGGGCTGCCATGGCTGCAGGGCTGCTGCACTGCGTGGGGCCGCACTCTGCTCCCAGCAGTGGGGTTGCAGCCCCGCCTGCCTCTGCTCAGTGCTGTTTTTTTGCTTTCTTACCCCTCTAGATAGGTGTGAGGCACGATGGGTGGGAACGAGCCTGTTCCTGTGGTGTGTCAATTAAAAGCTAACCGAATAGGGCTCAATGCTTTAGAAGCAAAAGCCCTTCACCTCCTTGGAAGATTTCTTCACTGGGAGCAGCACCTGCTCGGCCCTCTGCCTGCAGATCCACACTGCCCTCAGCTCAGCTCCGGTGCCGTCCGTCCCTCTGCTCTCCGTGTCGGTGCGGGGAGGTGTGGGGCCGTTCCCTGCAGGGTGCTGCCCGGCAGTGACAGACGTGGAAGACATAAAGGCAATAAGTTGTTGTTAAGCAACTCTTCTATTACTTGAAAAAGAAAAATACGTGAGAACAGTTCTGAAGTTGTGACGGTTTGAACGATATTTATATGTATTTTGGTGAAGATGGAGAATAAGTGAACTTGAAGTTGGTTTTTTGTTTGCTTTTTTTTTTTTTAATAAATCCTGTATTCTCTCAGTCCTTCAGAGCACTTTTCTGCAGCTCTCGGGGTCCTCCCAGCTTTACAGCCACGCAAAACCACGAAAGAAACAACCAGAAATGCAAAGGAGAGCGACTTGAGTGTGTCAGGAAGGCGCGAAGTGAGTTTATGAGAACGTATCTTTATGTAACATATCTATTAGTGCCTTATGAAAGAAGCAGCATCGCTCCCTTTTAAAAGAGGGGAGAAGGGAATCCCGGGCATCACCACCCAGCAGTGCTGCTCCGCATGCCGTGCACAGGGCAGCTGTCCCCCCGTGGGCTGCGGATGCTGCCTGGGTCACCTGGGTGCTCCTGCACATGGCGTGGGGTCAGGAACCGCAGCTGCTGTTGGACGTGAGGTACCAACCAAAAGACGCTTGTAATATCTGCTGCCCTCTTGAGCCAAAACGCGTGCATAGTGCGGTTGGGTTTTGTTTCCGGGGGGTGTTCTGTTCTGTGAGCTTAACTCGTGTGTTTGCTACAAAAACCAAATGGTTACCTCAGTGGGTGTGGGGTGGGATGTGCATCGTGGTCCGGCACGGAGCAGGCGGGGGTTCTTGGCACTGCTGGGCGGTGGGCACTGAGCGGTGCTCTGTTGGCTTTGTGCAGTCAGAGCGGCTCCAGGTCTTCTATCAGGCCTTGGGATTTCAACTCGTTCTCTTTTTTCCCTCCCCGTCCTCTCCCCGTGTGAATTTCAATCTCGCAGACCTCACCCCGAGCATCCTGCAGCTCCTTGATCCCTTTGCTGTGTTACTGGCTCTGCTTTCCTTTGCCGTGTGGGGCGTGGAATGAGCTTAAAGCAGGGTGGCTCATCAGCACCAAACTGCCATTGCAGCACTGCTGTCAGCCCATGTCCCACACCCCTGGAGCTGCCATAGGCTGCCAGAATGGTTCTCAGCCCAGCCCAGTGCAGCCCCAGCCCAGCCCAGCTCAGCACAGCCAACTTGTCCCCTTGTGCCCCGCTCCTTTCCGCATCCTGCAGCCCTGCACACCCTGTGTTTCCAATGCAGGACCAGATCTGGGGCCCAGATGAATTCCCAAGTTCTGAATGGGTGTTAGAAATAATGTTCTTGAATTATGATGTTGATTCTTTATTATTGTTGTCCTTATTATTGCTATTTAATGTTATTTTTGCCTCGGGGTCCACGTCTCCCACCCCCCAGTCCCTCCATGGCCGGGTGCTGGCCATGCACTCTGTTTCCCTTTGGTCTCTATGCAGGACCTGCCCACAGCTGCTCTCGCATCCCACAGCTGCAGCAGAGGGAGCATCAGGCCCTGCCCCAGTGACTTACTGCGACAAAGCAGGAGAAATAAGACATTGCCAGTGCTCAGCAGCCTCCGTCACAACTCAGCCTTTTTGCTCAGAGCTGTAGGAGTCGTGTTGGCTTTAGAAGGGTTCATTAATCTGAGGGATTTCCTTAGGGTACAGTATGGCAAACAGCATCCTGAGCGTGCCACCAGAACAAACGTGGCTTCTCAGTGAGGATGGCAAGGAGCAGTGCTTTTCGTTGAGGCTTTGGCCCCCTCCACAGCCTGCTGGTGTGAGACGGCCTCACTGAGGTATCTTAACTGGGGCTATAAGGAAATCCATCTGATTTCTGGGGCGCTCACCTTCCCTATGTGTGTACAACCTCTACACTGCACTACCTGCTGTGTTAAAGAAATAGAAGCCCAATGTTTTCACTGAGGATCAGACAAGGACTGCCTCCAGCTGTGTAGCACCAGCAGTGCTGGCTGAGGACAGAATGAATTCGTAGTCTCTCCGTTTCACTCAGACATTCTCAATGCTACCATAAAACAAAAAAGTTTTCCAGAAACGGCGCTTCAAACTGTTGCTGTGCTATAGAAGCCCGTAAGGGACAGCACTACAGTCCTGGTTTGCCTGCCTTACAGACACAACCTCATTGTATTCATCTTTCCTCAGCCTTCCAGTTGCATTGCTTTGGCTTTGGAGTTTGTTACGGGCAGTCCTGCATCCCGAGTTCTGTTCAAGTTTAAACTTCTGTAAACTATTGACCGCACATGCAATGCAGTACTTACCTATATTTTGCTGGTTTAGTATGAATATGTACTCTGATGCCAATTTACAAAATTCTGTTGTAAATGCTTATTGTGTAACAGTAACCAATAGTGGCAATTATATGTCATTCTAAAAGCTGCAATACTTATACAATAAATTTTACAATACTTTGGACAATCTGCCTTCACCTTTCGCTTTGTTACCCTAAAACCAGAGTTTGCCAACTCAGTGTCATCTAAGGAACACTTCCCATTTTCTTTTTGAATACTGGAAAAAGAATATTCTCAGGTTTGGGTTTTTTTGTGCTCCCCCTCTGCACAGCATCCTTCGGGCCCAGCTGGTTCTGTGTGGGTGCAGCGTGCTGTGCTGCTGTTTGCTGTGCTGCTGTTTGCTGTGCTGCTGTTTGCTGTGCACCTCAGCTCCTTTTGCTTTGAGCTCCAGCACTGCCACTTTCCTCCCAGAAGAAGCGCAGCCGCCCCTCAGATGGGAGCACTGAGAGTCAGAGCTTTAACCTGAATGACCATCAGTCGAAGAGAACAGTGCAGGTGGGCTCCAACCCTAAGCACCAACCACGTGTGTGACTTTTCTTCTTGAGGCTGCGGTCACATGGCAGCCATCACAATTAAATGGTTGGAAGCGTCACTGTTTGCAGGGGGTTTTCTTTGTGTACTTCTGGAGGATGTTCTGCAGAGCTGCCCGCCCTGTGCAGTGTGGGTTCCCCTCAAGAAGAAGATGCAGCAGTGAGCCCTGCACTCTCAGGGCCATCGGCCGCGCTGGGCAGCTGGGGATGTGGAGATGCCACAAAGCTGTGCCATGTCAGAGCTGTCGGTGCGTGGTGCTCAGCAGTGCCCGTGTGCCAGCATTAGGACCCTGTACCACACGCCAGCTGTCAGCCTTTTTTGCCTCTAAATCTTACTGTAAATGAGCAGAAACCTTCTCCCTCCTTTTAGCAACCGAGCAGCTTACATGAGTGCTGGAGCTAAATACAGTTTTTAAGGCATTTGCAGTCCATGCCATGCTTTAGCCCAAAGCAGAGCTCTGCAGGGCTGGGTTCCCACCTTCAGGGAAGGCTGTGCTGTGCATCCCAAGCCATGTGCACGGCTCTGAGCACACCTACATCATCTGTAGGGCCAAGCACTCAGCGCAGACCCCACACTGATGTCTCACGGAGACATTACATAGCGAGTAATTCAACTGGCTCTGAGCGTTGTGCCAAAAAGCCAAAGCTCTCCTGGAGCACCACAGCCTCATCCCATCCCAGAGCCCCTTTCTGCCTTTCCTGGAGCCCGGCTCATCCACGCCTTTCCCCAGGAGGAGCTTTGGTTTTCAACCACTTTCGAAATGATGGTTGGGTTTTTTTTTTCCATTTTTGGCTGGAACCAACATCTTCCCACAGAAAATGGGAACTCAGATTAAACCACCTTTTCCAAAGGGGATTTTTTTTTTTAAATGAAAAAGCAAAAAGCCCAACCAGCACAGCGCGTGGGAATGGGCAGAGTGCTGTTCCTAAGCTACCTGCACTAATGGGGTGAGCCAGGGACACTGCAGCACGGCTGATTGGCACAAGATTATTTTTAACTTTTTGTTGTTGTTGCCGTTTGCTCAGCAGAAGAAACAATTCCATGAGTTTGGGAACTGCGAGGGGCAAAGGCTTTGGTTTTAAACAGATTTTAGTGCTGCAAATTCAATAGGACTTCAGGAATCAGATTCAGCTCCCCCCTGCCCTCCCAGCACTGAGCCTTTTTGCAGCATTCCCAGCTCTGCTCACCGAAAGGTGCAAACTCTGACTTCAGAGCATCCATACTT